GAGTATTTATTCTTTACAAAACATCAAGTATCTTGGCTACCTTATATCTGTATTTTCAAACTTGCAGATATGTTGTCTATCATACAGTTGTAATATTGATTTAAGAAAAGTTGCTTTAGATATACTCATCTGCCCATTTCCCCACTCCATTGCATTACTTTACCCACCAATGTCTTTCTTCTTTCACTCAAACTCAATTGACAAAGGGTGATTAAAATAACATCATTTTCTTTCTTATGTTTTAACTCTGCCATATCTATTTGCAGCTAAGCACTGGCTTATATAAGAAAACATTATATTATAATGATTTATATTATATTAATTTATTTTATAATAATAAAATATTATTAGATAGTACTATTAGAGGTAAATTAGAACTTCCCTTTGGAGAACTTAGAATATTTTTCAAAGAGCAAGAAATTATGGGGAATTAGTGACATGTACCCTCTTCTATTTTTAAAATAGATAACAGGGGCCTACTGTAAAAAAATTTTTTTAAATGAATAAATAAATAAGTAATAAAAAAGAAATTATGGGGAATTAGGAAGGAAGGAGACCAGAGGCCGTGGAGGCCATGTGTGTCACAGGCATAGAGTTCATCAGCAAAAGAAAGAGAAAGGGTTACATCAGGGGCTAACGAAGGCAGGGTTTAATTGGCTCTTAAACTTCAGTGTACGGACAAATTATCTGGAAGTGTGTGGAAAACACAGATTCCCAGGCAGCACGCTCAAATAATCTGATATAGTTAGTCTGGAGTGGGGCCCTGGAATCTGCATTTGTTAAAATTATCACAGGCAATTCTGTTGCAGATGATCCGAGGGCCATGCTATGGGAAACACTGGTTTAGGGAGCTTGGGGAGAGGCAGGAAAGGAAGAAATTTGAATAGGAAGTGAAAACTTGAGAAAGTAAGGGTGTTGGCATTTATGCGCGCACGCCTGTGTGTGTGTGTGTGTGTGTGTGTGTGTGTGTGTGTGTGTGTGAGGGGAGTGGTTGATAATTGTGGCAAGCACAACGAGGCAAGAAGAAATTGTCTTTGGAGCACAGGTGAAGAGTTGAGGTTTAGAGAGAACTGTAGAACTGAAGAAACTGGAAGAGATGACAGAAGAATAAAATCTAGGTGTAAACTGAAAATGAGCATGTGTAAAGAGTCCTGTGGTCTCCCTCCTTCTCTGATTTAAGCAGCCAAGTCATGCCCTGAGGTCGTCACTCAGCAATCCGAGCCTTCGTGATGACCATGCTGGCCATTTATGCAGAGGCTATCATTGCTCTGCAGAGATAAGGCACATTTTGCTTCTACAAATCATTAACAACACCTATTCTCTTGCAAGTGGTAAAAAGAATGGAGCCTGATCTAGGGGATGGGAAGCAGTGGAAAATCCCATCGCCTCAAACCGTGAAGAAAATAGATGTCCTTTGTTTGTTGCCCTAAAGTTTGTTGAAATGCTTGGTTTTTTTGCTTTGTTGTTGTTTTTTTTGTTGTTGTTGTTTTTGTGAGATGGACAACAAGTGCATTTCAGAAGCATTCTGATAAGAATGACCCTCTTTCTAGATTAGATCCTGAAACACCCATAGAAGTACTTCAGTTGATCTCAGTTGCTCAAATTGTACATCCAGGAAGAGTCCCTAAGAAAAGAAAGGTTAGCTGGTGTGTGATAAACAGCAATTTCCCAAGGCTTTGATTGCCAGATAGAGACGGACTTAACTCCTCCCTGTTAAACGAAGCAAAAGAGCAAACTGTTGGCAGAATTCTTTTAGAGAATAGATTCCTTCTGTTTGAAAATCTCCCAGCAAGTTAATTCAGTCACTGCTGTTAGGAGTTACTAATCCAGTGAGGGGACAAAGAACAAGCTCAGAGATGGCAGGTGAAAGCCAACATCCCTGGGCTGCCAGATATTCCAGACTTCAGTTCTCAGCTGCTAAGATATATCTTCAATTATCAACCAGGTCTGAGTTTAAAAAAAAGAATCCAATTTAGTAGAACTCCTCACAGTAGAAGAGACCTTTGGCTTCCGACTTCAAAGAAATCTTTGAAAGCTGCTTTAGAAAGAAATAATTGAAAGAACAGAAGATCGATAGAACTCAAACAAACAATACAGGGCAGAGTTTAATAACTCTGGGGCAACTATTGCACAAAGAAAGCCACCAAATTTGTGTGGGGGGGTATTAAAGACAATAAATCCTGAGGTCTCCCCAGTCAATTAGGTGATGGTTCCAGTTTTTCCAGTTCTACAACTTTTAACTCCAAACATCCTAATCAATGAACAAGATCATTTCCTAGCACAAGGATATTTTATTTGTAAAGTGATTGGGATACTACCACCTTCAGGGCTAAGTGATTCCCTGGGTGGCAACATTACAGTTTGTTATGAGAGAAATGTCTAAAAGGACAGGTTAGGTTCTTGGCTTCCACCTGTGCCTGATGAAAAAACTGATGTTTTTGTCAATAATGGAATATTGGACTGTTGCTCTTATCGCCTTCCATAAATCCTTCACAAACGGACTCATTATCTCCCATCACAGTCCAGATGAACTTGCCACAAAAGCAAAGTTTGTTCCTGATACCTTCAATATCTTTTCTGTGCTCTTTTCACCTTTGAAATTAGGGGAATCATGAATTCCAGAAAAATGGAGTTGGGGGGAAAGGGGTACAAATGGTGCCAGGTCTGACTCAAGAAATGCAATATATTAGAGTTGGAAGGGAATTGAAATCATTTAGTTTAGGATTGCTGTCAGGGGCTTGGTTGGCATCAGAGCTGAATGAAGTTTGCCTGGGGTAGCATGATAAGAGTGTAGGGGTCTATGGCAATAAGAAGCCTATGTTGATGTAGAAGTATTAGAAATCAGTATTTTTTATAAAACATTATCAACTTCAAACATAATTTCTCACCAAATTCAGCCCTTGATGGGCCCTTGATGCTAGTCTTCCCCATATTTTTGCAAACTTGGAAAACCGAGGCTCAGAAAATTAAAATTAATCATCTGGAGTCACACAAGTACCTGCTACTTAACTCCAGGCTGGAAACAAGATATCCTTTCCCTAACCCTGGAAGTTATGTGCAAACCCAATTTGGAACACAATACGGTTGGAAAATAGTAGGAAATGAGTTTGGAAATGGAGATTGGGATAAGACTGTAGAAAACCTTGCTTGATGAACTAGGCTTTTTCATATTTATTTTGTAAGCAATAAGAAATCTGAAATGTTTTGAATATGTCAGTCCTATGGTAAAAGCTGTGTTTTACGAGAGCTGGATGGCAATTTGTGTCGTTTATGTTGAAGGAGAGAAGATTGCAAACCAGGAGATCCAAGAGAAAGTAGTTATGGTTCAGGTAGGAAGATTTGAGGGTCTGGACATTGAAAGGGAAGGGATAGGTTCTCAAGGGGAAAACTGGTAGGACTACGTGGCTAATTGAATTGAGAGACAAAAGAGTAAGAAAGTCAGGAGTGACTTCATAATCCCTAAAGAGAAAATTATATGAAAATTAAAACCATTATACTGATGATTTTTCTCACTTGCCTGGGCTAGAAGTAATTTATGTAAGATTAAAAGTTAACTCTACATGTTGACTTTTCCGAACAGTTAATAGAGGTCATTCCTCCCCTTTAATCACTCTAGAAAATCATCAAATTATCTCTGAACCTCAAAATATTTGCCCAGAATTAAAGAGTCTAATAAAGAATACAGATATTATATATTTTAGCTAGGACATTTTTCCTAGCAATGTGCTAAATTGCATTTAAAAAGAAATCTATAGGTGAGAATTTAAGCTAAAGCTGACATTTGATCCTCTGTGGCAAACTAGACCATAGATAGCAAACTTGTGAACAATTTAAATTAAAATAATCTGCAACCCTATTTTTTTTCTGATAACTGTATTCACTCTACTGTAAACTTAAAAAAAGTAAAACAGATGGAAAAGAATAAACTTGCTGATTTGTTTGCTATTTCCTCTCTCTTGTATAACTCATCCTGTGATGGGAAGGCCTAGGAAGTCAGCCCATCAGAAATGCCATAAGGCTTCCTGCAGCAGGAAGAGAAACAAAGGAACTGGGTGGCTTAAGTATTTAACAATCATCTCGTGATTAATTTACTCTTGTCATACCTGCACATCTGATTTAGCGTTCTCAAATCAGAGGTTTCACTTTATTTTGTTTGGAAGACATGAGAGGAAAGTTATTCAGCAAATTTCAGGAAAAATGATTTTCAACAATTAGAAAGTGTACAAAGTGGTCAAGTCCTGGCATATTTTCTGTCCCCATCTCTTTCCCAACCCAGTTAAGGCAGGCAAGCAAGAGTGTGTTAAGTCGCATAAATACATTTTGTTACTGCTCACACTATGTGGGCCTAAGAGTCCAATCCTGTCTCCCTCAATCCAAATATCTAGTGGAAGTTTAAAACAACCGGCCAAGCATCCAGTGAGGCTGTCAATCCTGTCTTCCTAAACCTACTTCCAAGATCTCACCGTGTGATTTCTGCTCAGGACCCTCTGCGGAAGAGCTGTTCTTCAGACAGGAGTGTACCTTGCCTCCACGGAAAAGAGTCCTTGAAAAAAACAAATGGGAAACATGGTTGCAAGAAAACTGGGAGGACTGCAAGGTGAGAACATAAAAACAGAAGAAGAAAAAAAGCCTATTTCCCTCATTGATTAAATTACGACACTTTTTTTTTTAAGGGTATTTGCCAGCATAAACATCAAAACTTTAAGCGTATCTTTAGAACTTTCTCTGAAAATAGTGGTGTTTGGGCTCTCCATCTTTTTTTCCATCCCTTCTCTTCATCAAGACTTGCTACTTATTTTCTAATCTTTATTTTATCTTGATATTGCTGAACTTTGGAAAAAGTTTAAAAGAACTGAGAATGAAATTGGGTTTTTTTGATAACAAAAAAGTCAAATATTGAACAATAATCCTTATCAAAGAATTTATGATGCAATCTGGAATCCTTTGAACAATGCAGTAAGCCAAAATTTTTGAAGATTCAGGGCAGCCAGTTGGGTCTGAACAGAGCTATCCTGGAACAAATCAAACTTTCACCAGTGAAGGATATGAGCTGTGGTTTCTTGGTGCTGAAAATGACTCAGCTGGCTGAGCCACTGGCATTGAAACAGTCCCTGTAGTTAGCCTGACCACTACCAATCTATGGGGCTGCCATCACTCAAGCTTCTAATTCCAATTGGAGCAAGTCATGTTTAAGCAGAGGACTGAAGATTTAACTGGGAAGACTAAGCCATTGGTAGCAATAAAAGAATAAATCAACTTCTTTATAGCAGAGTAAGATGTCAATAATTTTTCTTTGAAGTGATCAAATTGTATGTGAGGATTTTAGGAAATCTTCCCAAAATGAGACTTATTGGGATCTCCTGTTGCCTCTTTTGTTTTACAGATTGATCTTGTATGTTGTAGAATTATAGAATTAGGGCGTGGGAAGGAGCTTCAGGGAGGGTCTGGTCCCAACTCCTTCCTTTCAAAAAGGAAAGGAAAGTTTAGAAAGAGAAATGATTTGCCCAAGGTCACACAGCTTATTAGCAGAAGACAGGAAAATAGAATATTGTTTCCCAGTACAGTGTTTTCTTTCTAAAATTAATTTTAATTCTTCTTATATAATGGATGGATACATTCTACTCTTTAACACTTTAAACAATGCTCCTATTTATTTATTTGAAAAATTTAAACAATACACTTAAAACTTTGACCTCCACTCCCAGGATTCTTTTTAGAGGTAATCATTCCAGTGTATACATGCATTCGTTCTTTATAGCTGTCATTTAAACCATGGATATATTGTAAAGGCCAATGGAACCTTGCTAATAAACTATCATAGAAAGTTTAACTGGCCTTTAGATAACTATACTGTCAGAGAATGGCTAAATAAACTTTAAACTATCACAGAAAACCTTATTGGGAAATAGTGGTCAAAAAATTCTATTTGAGAAGGTAATATTTAATGTAGAAATGATAAATATAATATCTTAATATTTCTTTGGTTTTATTTTAAATTAAGACCTTTTATACTTTGGGAAAATAAAATTTAAAGTAACAAATTTTATAATGTTTAATGTCTAAAAATATCAAGACCTTATCTTTTTAGATAGATATCCATATTTCCCTAAAATAGTAAATTATTTTGCTTCAAATCTTTTAAAAAATGTCATTTTATGCAATAATTTCTATTCACAGAAATTGATGGTAAAACTTTGGAAACAAAAAGTTAAGTTGACTTTTAGCAATAGAGTTTACAAGAGCAATGCTACCATTGAGAGTGGTTTTAATTTCCTTGAGATCAAAGTTGGGGCTTCCCTGGTGGCACAGCGGTTGAGAGTCTGCCTGCCGATGCGGGGGGCGCGGGTTCGTGCCCCGGTCCGGGAGGATCCCACGTGCCGCGGAGCGGCTGGGCCCATGAGCCATGGCTGCGGAGCCTCCGCGTCCAGAGCCTGTGCTCCGCGGCGGCAGAGGCCACAGCGGTGGGAGGCTCGTGTACCGCAAAAAAAAAAAAAAAAAAAAACATTGTGTGGGTCGAACCAAACACTTTTGTGGGCCAGATGTTGGTACCAAAAAAAAAAAAAAAAAAAAAAAAAAAGAGATCAAAGTTGACTGATGTTAAAAGTCAAAATAAAATACCCACTATCTCTGAAATATGCCAAGTCATCCTTATGTATGTATCCCGGGTTATTTTTAAATAAAATCATATTTTCCATCTTTTGAATGATGGTATCTTACTCTGAAATGTATATAAATGTGATTTCTGAGTATTTCCAAGGAGGCTAAAGATAACTAATCATTTAAAGCCAAACAGAGCTTTACCTCCTCTACTTTTTACCCCTAGAAGTAATTTACCCTTAGAAGTTTTACCCCTAGAAGTTTCAGAATCTGTTTGAGGGTCTTGCCCTCTCTCCCTGACAGCCCCCGCCCCACACCAACCTTGTGTGTAATTCTAATCAGGATCCAGTCAGGATCTTCACCTTCCCTCCCTACCTTGAGAAGCTCTGCAATAATTGTGTGTTTGGATGTGTGAGTATTTTAGAAGACCAAAAAACAAAATAGTAAAAACTGCTGGTTTAAATATGCAACACATATTAATTTTTTTTTTTTTTTTTTTTTTTTTCCT